TTTAACAGGCTTTGTTTTATATCCTGAGTATTAATAGTACTGTACCTTTGGCAGCACTTGAGAAAAGAAAGTCTGTTCCAATGTCAGGTGGTTCATATGAGGTAAAAACATTTGTACAATGGTTTTCAGAATTTCTATAAAGCAAAATAGTAACACGTTTTGTAGGAATATTAATCACGTCAGCCAACAAAGATCACTGCTCTTTCCAAATGGGGACATATGTAAGCACAATCAACAGAAAGCGTTGTACAGCTTCAAATGCCATAATCTGTGTAGAGAAAATATTAAAGTGAAGTAATAACAAAAAAAGGGAAAATATGTCCAGCATTTGACCACTTAATGGATGTGGGTACCTTTACTGAACAGGATCTGTAAATGATTCTTCAGAGGTTATTTAAAAACCATAAAAAATGTTTACAGAACTGGCCTGGTCAGTGTGGCTCAGTGCTTGAGGAGGTCACAGTTCAATTCCCGGTCCAGGAACATGCCTGAGTTGTGGTCTCATGCAGGAGGCAGCCAATCAATGATTCTCTTTCATCACTGATGTCTCTCTCTCTCTTTCCCTTCCTCTCTGAAATCAATAAAAATATATTTTTTGAATGTTTACAGTGCTTTAAAATTAAGCATAAAGGTCTCAAAATAGTATCCCAATTTTATTATATGTAAACATGTACATACAAAGAATAATAGGTAATCTGGCAGGAATGTACAGAAATGGGATGAGAATATTCTCTATTAAAATCTTAACCATTTCAGATCCATAGGTGTCTTCTGGTTTTTTTTCTGTATGTTTCATATTTTCTACAATGAATATGTGTGACTCATGCTCAGTATAAAAAATAATTCTGTTCCTAACATAGATTCAAAATTATAAACAAATATTCCACAACCATTCTAATTCAAAATAAATGTAAACTACTGTCTAGTCTTTACTCTTCACCACCTCTCCTGGCTAAATAAGCAAATCACATCAAATAAGGGTAATGAAGACAGATAAAGATGAGAAAGACAACTTTTTCCAAATGACAAACGTGTCATCACCTAAATAATCAGCTTTCTGTAACCTAGAACCTATTTTCTAAAGCTACTTCACATGTTAGAGGCTGAAAGCAAAAGACTGCAAGTTTGTTTCATAGAGGTTAACCACGGTTTAACAACTAACATTTAAAGTTTGCATTGTGCTTACATACACATTATTAAACAGAATATATTTGCTATCTATCAAAAATGGGATTTAAAACTTTAAGTACTGTAATTAGAAGTAATTTGGGCATTTTAAGTAATTGAAAGTTACAGAGACTGTAACAGGACAATAGGAAATGATTCGATTTGAAGGGAATACAATGCTGTATTGATAAGTATGATTCACATCTTAACATCAAAATAAATCATACAGTAAGATAGTTTGACTTACGAATATGCTCAATCCAACTGTCAGAATGTTGATACATGGAGTAAAATAATTAAGGAAAATCATACTATTAGGATGTTCACTACTGAAAACAAATTTAAAAGGACCATTCTTGAAGTTTAAGCAATAATCAGTAAGAGACTGAAGCTAGACTCAAATTACTGGCATAATTTTGCTTTTAAAAAGTTAAAACTTGCCCTGGCCGGTTTGGCTCAGTGGATAGAGCGTCGGCCTGTGGACTGAAGGGTGCCAGGTTTGATTCTGGTCAAGGGCACGTACCTCGATTGCAGGCTCCCAGCCCTGGTCAGGGGATATGTGGGAGGGAACCAATCAATGTGTCTCTCTCACATGGGTGGTTCTCAGTCTCTTCCTCTCCCTTCCACTCTCTCTAAAAATCAATGGGGGAAAAAATATCCTCGGGTGATGATAAAAAATAAATAAACAAAAAGTTGAAGCTTTTAGATTAAAAAAACAATTGCTCCAGGGATATTCTTGCCTTTTCAAGCTATTAGATAAAATATCTTTGACAGCTGACAAACAATGCCACAATAAGCCATGGATTTCTGGTTTCTCAGGCAGAAAAGAAATTTCTCCCTCCTCAGCATTTCTATAGTACTTTATCTGTAGCTGCCTTAAGTCACTCACCACTTTCTATCTTCTTTTCATATTATTTTCATACCTTTCTTACCAACCTTACCAGACTGAAACTCTTCTGCACATAACAGAAGCCTACAAAATATGTCACAGTACATTATCCTAACAGTAATCAAATTATAAAACATAGACTTATAGCCCGGCCAGTATGGCTCATTGGATTGAGCATCATCCTGTGCACCAAGAGCTCAATGGTTCAATCCCTGGTCAGGGCACATGACCGGGTTGCAGGCTCGATCCCCATTGGGGGATGTGCAGAAGGCAGCCGATCAATGATTCTCTCTCATCATTGATGTTTCTATCATCCTCTCCCTTCCTCTCTGAAAGCAATAAACACTTTTTCAAATAAACAAAACAAGATGATTTTCGTTAATGATAAAGTACTCTTTAGAAAACAGGACAAAGTAATAAAAGTGTTGCAGATTGGGTTTGTGGGAATTACCTAAAGTTGAGGGCTCTGAAAAGGGCCGAATAAGGTGAAATTTGAGCCAAGACCCGAATGATGAGCTGCACAAAAGGCTGGAGAACAAGGGAGGCTGAGGGAGCAGCAAGCATGAAGACCTCGAGGTGGGGAATTCATGCCTTCGTGGACAGAATGTAGTGAGCTAAGCAGGAGGAAAAGGCAAGGCTTATATTACATGGGGCCTTACGGTAACTTGGCGGGGGGGGGGGGGGGGGGGGGATGTGTTTAAAAAGGAAATGACAGGTCTTTCACCCACAACTATTTTTGGAGAATGGATTATAAGAGGACATAAGGAAACTATTAACAACAGTCCAGGTGATGGATGTTTAGAATAAAATGATAGCAACTGGGGATGGAGTTAAGTGGATGCAATCAAGATACAGCTTGAAGTCAGAGACAAAAGAACTTGCTGATTAGATGTAAGGATTCAAGGTTTGCGAAACCATTTACAGTTAAGTCCTCACTTAATTTATCAATAGATTCTGTGATTTAAAGAAATACAAAAACACTTTTTCCATTCCTATTTTCTAATGAAATGACTTGGAATGAAATCATGTTATTCTAAGACCTGCTGTATTTCAATGAAGAACACTGGGGGAAGAACAGGTTTGGGTCTTTCTGAATGTTAAGTGTGAGATGCAAAACCAGGTGGGAATGTTCACTTTCAATTACTGAGGTTCCCCTGTAACAGCGGTTCTCAACCTGTGGGTCACGACCCCTTTGGGGGTCGAACGACCCTTTCACGGGGGTCGCCTAAGACCATCGGAAAACATATCTATAATTACATATTGTTTTTGTGATTAATCACTATGCTTTAATTATGTTCAATTTGTAACAATGAAATTGGGGGTCACCACAACATGAGGAACTGTATTAGAGGGTCGCGGCATTAGGAAGGTTGAGAACCACTGCCCTATAAGTTTGAGGGGAAGAAGAGGAACCATGTTCCTTATCTTTGTTACTCCAAAGCCTGCCATCCTGCCTGCTACACCCAGTTAAGGACCCAGGACATGTCTATGAGAAGGATAGCTATTTCGTTTCCCAAGTCAAAATCCTGTGGGGTTTTTTTTTCAAGTCCAAATCCTTGAGGATGGGGATTCCTTATCTGCACAACGACTAACAAAGGGGCTCTGGTACCTAGTGGGAGTGTGCCACTGCCTAGAGTCCTAGACGAATGACGTCTATGGGATGGCAACATTTGTGTTTGGCTTTAACTGTAAACATTATTTATGCAGGGTGTGGACGCTCTCAAATAAAGGTCATTTTTCCTCTTCAGTGTAGTTTTATGTTGAAGGTGAGCGAAAAAGCATTAAAAAAAAAAATTACCTTTTACCATGAACGGCCAGGGCTCGAGGCACACTGACAACCACAAAGGCACGAGACTACTAAGGAATGGTCCGCACCTGGGCAACCCAGGCTGCCAGCCCCTCCACCCCGGCAGGTGGAACCAACAAGCCGCTCCTCCCAGCCAGCGCTGCAGGACAGGGGGTGGGCGAGGGAGGGAGCAGCACTTCCACACCCCCCGCCTCTGCAGTCCTCACAATCCCGGGGAAGGTGTCGTTCAGATCCGCCGCGCATCTTAGAGCTGACACAGCTCAGAGGGACTCTGCCTCATCCCGCTTGCAGCGGTTCTCAACCTGTGGGTCGCGACCCCTTTGGGGGTCTAACGACCCTTTCAAAGGGTTCGCCTAAGACCATCCTGCATATCAGATATTTACATTATGATAACAGTAGCAACATGACAGTTATGAAGTAGCAACGAAAATAATTTTATGGCTGGGTCACAACATGAGGAACTATTGTATTTAAAGGGCCAGAAGGTTGAGAACCACTGGCTTAGAGTCAGGTCTCGCCTTACCGCTCGGGTCCCAGTCCTTGCCTCTCCCACTCTCCTGTGCAAAAGTCGTGAGGCGCACAGAAAAACTCCCCGGCACAGAGCAATGGACGAAAAGGCCACTCGCACCTCCACCATCGAGGGGCAGAGGGCACCTCTGCGAGCCCGAGCAGTCCGTCCCAAAGCCAGGCATGCCCTGGCTCTCGGGCACACGGTCCCCGCTCGCCCGCCGTCCCCTCGCGGCTCCATCTCGCTCACCGACAAAGAACCGGGAGATTTCAGGCCGCGGGAACGCAACACGAGCTGGCGGCGGGTGTGGCCCGGCTGAGGGGAAAGAGGCAACACCTGCCGCCCACTCCCCTCTGGGTGCAAGCGACAGCGAAGGATATGAGGAGCCGAGGCAGGACAGTCGGCAGCTCCCGGCGGCACAGCTCCTCGGGCCAGGTGCTCAATTCCTCCAGGGGGACGGCGCTCGCCGAGACGGCGCCCTCCTGAGACATGTTTTTGCCGAGGAACCAGCTTCAAATACGTCCCGCCACCGCCGAGACCGGAAACGCCGCCGTCCCGGCAGGCCTTGCTTGCTCTCCGACGACACCAATACCATAGAGAGTGAGCGGGCTGCGTTCCTAGTTGAGCCCGGGCCTTGCGCGGCTGAGAAAAACCGGGCCTCTCTGGCCCGCGGAGGACTCGACTCACTGGTGCACGCTTTCAGCCCCGAGCATCTGGCGTGACATGAGGTTTCTACACGCGGCCGTGAGCTGGGAACTGGCGGAGCTGTGAGTATCCCAAGGTCTAGATTACTGTATTTGTTGTTACGTTGAGGCGCTTTGGGGAGGTGAAGGCCGTAAGTCCCCAGATTTGCTACCGTCGATCCCAGGGGACTTTGAGATTGCACATCTGATGGGGTTGGATCCGGTTCCTGTCCACTTCACCGTGTGATCCTACTTTGTACGTCTTGTTGAATGGGAACAGAGACCCCACCTGCCAGAATTGTACGATCTGAAGCAGGTCTAGTACCGTGAGAGTCTCGGTAAAGTTGCTTCTACTGTCCACAGGCCTCTCCAACCGTTCAGTGTCCTTACTGTGTGTTTGTTCTGCCGCCAAACTGACCTTTACTGATTACTCCAAAATCACCCACTCCCATGCACTTAGGGCTGCTGATATCCACTAAGTGTTGTGAGGTCATTTGCATGAACTTGCACCAGAGTAGAACCGTGCAGGTTTTTACAGGGCTACACATTTACCAAAATAAACTCTTGATTTCCTGTTACTTGAAAGAGGAACAGACTGGGTGAAGAGATGCTGTCAGTTTAGTAGGTAAATATGTTTGGACAGGGTCATGACAGGTGACGGACACCAAGCAGCTAGACTTGTCAGTTCCTTCCCGAAAATATGGGACTTTGTTTTTTCTAGTTGTTGCTGCTGCAGTTCTATTATTTGTTTTTACTCTTCATTCTCTAATCCAGCTTTTGACCCCTGCAGGGTTGTGTGTTTCCAAATCTCCTTATTTCCCTCAAAACTTGTATAGAAAAAGTAGCTAGCTGAGGGGATTGGGATGATTACTGTTTAATATTATATTTTAAGGAAATGTGTCATTTTGCTATTTACTAACGATTTTATTTTTTTTCCTCCAGAGTTAAACGGAAAGAAAAGCAAAGACCTCTGGAAAGTCATTTGGAAACATCTCTAAATATTTTAATTGTATAAGCCACTACAGAGAAAGTGACCCAAACAAAACTACTTAAATAACTGAAACAGGTTCATGTTCTGTGTCATCAATTCTATCCAGAAGCTGAGGAGTCTCCCTTTGAACTGAAGGATTGTACGAGGATGACCTTCCAATTTAATTTCACTATAGAAGACAATCTAGATAATGAATTAACGCCCCCTGGAGATGGAACTTTGACCCCTAATTCCTCAAAAGAGTCTTCAGTCTCAGAAAGTCAAAAAGGTAAACACAGGGACACAAAATGTTCTACAGAGCAGTCTGTCTTGCCTCCGAATCACTCGTGGGGACCTACGTCAGTGGGACATGCAGCTCCCTCCCAAGACACATGCAACTCACTCCATGCAGCTCACAGTTCAGGGAACTTAGAGCCTCATGAAAAACAGCCTTGCTTGAGACTTGCCAAAGAGCATGCTGTACCTAAAGATTTAAAGAAAGTGTTAGAAAATAAAGTCATAGAAACATTACCAGGTCTCCAGCACGTTAACATATCAGTAGTGAAAACCGTCTCGTTGAAAGAGAACTTCCCTGGAGAAAACATCGTTTCAAAGACCATTTCTTCTCACTCTGATCTGATTACCGGTGTTTATGAAGGAGGTTTAAAAATCTGGGAATGTACCTTTGACCTCCTGGCTTATTTTGCAAAGGCTCAAGTGAAATTTGCTGGGGGGAAAGTGTTGGATCTTGGCTGTGGATCAGGGTTGCTGGGTTTAATTGCACTCAAGGAAGGGGCCAAAGAAGTTCATTTTCAAGATTATAACAGTTTGGTGATTGACGAAGTAACTTTACCTAACATGGTGGCTAACTCCACTTTGGAAGATGAAGAAAATGACGGAAATGAGCCAGATGTGAAAAGATGCAGGAAATCAAAAGTAGCACAAAAACTAGGTCAATGCCGGTTCTTTTCGGGGGAGTGGTCTAAGTTTTGTAAGCTTGTAACCAGTGAAAAACATTTTGAAAAATATGACCTCATTCTCACCTCAGAAACGATTTACAATCCGGATTACTATGATACTTTGCACCAAACATTCCTTCAATTGTTAGGTAAAAATGGGCGGGTGCTTTTGGCCAGCAAAGCACATTATTTTGGTGTAGGTGGAGGTGTTCATCTCTTTCAGAAGTTTGTAGAAGAAAGGAATGTATTTAAGACTAGAACACTTGAAATAATTGACGAAGGACTAAAAAGATTCCTAATTGAAATGACTTTTAAGTATCCCAGTTAATGTCCACAGAGTGTCCTAAGTAAAATAAACAGAATAACTAAAAACTTGTTGAGAATGTTTAATTTCTGCTTTGCTACTTTTTATAATACAATTAGCAAGGGTCTTATTTTTTAATATGTATTTTTATTGTTGATGGTATTACAGATGTCTCCCATTTTCTCGCCCTTTCCCCGCTCCTCCCAGGCCCTCCTCCCTCCCCCCCAGGTCTTCACCATCCTATTGCCCATGTCCATGGGCTATGCATATAAATCATTGGGTTTATCTCTTCTCGTCCCCCCCAACCCCACATCAAAGTATGTCAGTCTGTTCCATGCCTCCATGCTTCGGGTCTTATTTTGAGAAATTAGGATTCAATAAAATATATTTACTGGACATCTGTTAACTAGGTACTTTGTATAGCATCTTGCTTAATATCTATAACCTTATGAGGCATATAGCATCCTCATTTTAATAATGGTCACAATAGCTAAGAGTTCTCAGTGTTTACTATGTGCAGGGCAGAAGAGCTTTATATATACTAACATTTAATATTAATAACAGCCCTGAATTAGGTTCTGGTTCAGGTTATAAATAGTACTTCCATTTTATAAAGAAATTGAGAGTCAAGGAAGTAATTAAATCCCCATCACATTTCTCACCTTGAACCAGAATCTGAACTGATGTCTATTTAAAAGCTTTTCTTTTTTTTAATTTTTATTTTTTTTTTTATTTCAGAGAGGAAGGGAGAGGGAGAGAGAGATAGAAACATCAATGATTCGAGAGAATCACTGATCAGCTGCCTCCTGCACGCTTCCTATTGGGGATCAAGCCCGCAACCCCTGGCATGTGCCCTTGACCGGAATTGAACCTGGGACCCTTTGATCCGCACGCTGATGCTCTATCTACTGAGCCAAACCAGCTAGGGCTTAAAAGCTTTTCTTACCACCCCAGTGGTCTCAACCTTACCACTGCCTGTTTTTCATCACAAATATTTCTTAGCACCCTTGTATTATTCTGAAATGGAAGTCACAGTTAAAGAATCTTATTTACGCCCATCATTAAAAACTGTATATATTATACATAAATCCCTAATGTGTGTATATATAGTCATATTATAAACATATCATGTATATAAGTTTAGTTAATATCCATTATCTCATATGGATACAAAAAAAAAATAAGAGAAAAAGAAAACAATGTTTTTTTTCCTTCTGAAGGGAACTTTTAGGGTGTACTTTCTTTAACAACTTTTATATATACCAGGGGTGGAGAACCTTTTTTCAGCCAAGGGCCATTTGGATATTTATAACATCATTCTTGGGCCATAGAAAATTACCAACTTGAAAATTAGCCTGCTATATGTGGTCAAATATTTAACTCACCCCTAATGCCTTGGTAGAGCCAGACCAAATGATTTTATCTTCCCCCCTCCCTCCAATGATTAGATAGTTGTCTTAACCCCATCTACGTGTATCCTTCCATTGCCCATTTCTGTACAAGTAGTAACCTGTTTTAATCAGTGTACCTATATAATGAAATTTTATCTGTCAGGCAAGACTTGCTCTTTCCTTTTCAAACCTTTCTCTTTGTTGTTGAAGGTACAGTGTATGATATTTACTATGTATATATGTTTATTTTTCCCAAGTAAATTCTACAATCATTCTGACAATTTAAACAATTCCTTTGGTATTTTGGTTGATATTATATTAAATATATAGCTTAAGTTGGTGGCAATTAGAACACTTAGACTATTACATATTCTAATCCAGTCTGACAGAGGAGAAGAAATCTAGATTGGGGGAAAGAAAGCAATGAAACCATCAGAGATAGAAATTTTATTATTATTCAAATAGCTATGCCAACTGGGGCCCTGAGAAGCTGCCAAAGGACTTTCCCAACTAACGTATACATCCCTGTATTACAGGTACCAATCAAAGCAACACATCCAGAACAAAATTAGAATTTAAAAAAAAAGAGGCCCACCTTTCAGATCCCAATTCCTTTCAAAATATTCTATTACAGTAGTTCTGAGCAAAACCCTTAGCTAGCGGCTGAAGGCTGGGGCTGGGCTGGGGCTGGGCTGGGCTGAGCCGGGGCTGGTTCTCAGGGCGGCAGCTGTCCTGAGGAGGAAGATGAGGACTGTGAATGAGGGGCGGCAGCCTTGTTTCTGGGAAAGTAGTATCTGGTAAGGACAGTCAAGGAAGATGCATCTCATCACTTTAAAATCAACTTTACTAGAACTACTAGTTGTCTAGTTTAGACATTGTTGAGATAACCACTCCAGAAGTAGACTGCCTTTAATTCCCTTTCACCATATTACAAATCCTTCAGATGTTGATAGTACTTATTATTGCTTTTGCTCATGTACTAGAATGCTTTTGATACTGCTTGAATTATGCAAGAGTATAAAACATGACTTCTCTACTAAGTTTTTATAGTAACTTAAATACCTTGAAAACCAACACTGAGTGAATAATTTTCCCTTTTGAAGTGGAAGGGGTCACTATTAGAGTAACAAAAGGATACACATAAGTTGGGATGCCTTTTGCAGCCAAGTATTTCCGTATAAGTCGCTCAGTACCATACCAGTTGAAACCTTTCGTAGCATGCCCAATGCGTGGGAGATGGACACTTGCTGTTGAAAAGAAGAAAGAATAGATTATGATGTCTTCCTTCATCAAAAATGGATTGGTGGATATATATATATATATATATATATATATACACAAAGGAGAAAATAATGTTTACTCTTAGTCTCTCTGTGGTTTCCAATGGACCAAACGTACATAATCATGGAGCATCCCACTCAAAGCATACAATTATAACATCAAGAATATTCTGGGGAGGGATGTAATACGGAAAAATAATTCTGTTGAACACAAGGACTGACCTACAGGTAGGCCCTGGAAAGAAGTAGGTACAATGGAAACAGAATATATGATCAATGGTAGAGATGTAATCAAAATCAGCAAAGGTTCTTTAACTGGTCAATCAGTTCAACAAACTCTGAGATATACAAGGTTTGGAAACAACACTAAACTATGGTTTTTGACAGAGAACTGTCTGCTGATGTGGACTGGGACTCTCCAAGAGAGGACATTTCCCAACTGCATATGACCAGTTTACTTCACCTCTGGTGCCTCCTTCCTCATCTGCGGGACACAAGTCCCGCAGTGGATGCAGATGGTACACAGAGATCACAGATACAGGGATACAGAAAAAGGGCTTTACAAGTACAAGATGACAAGGTGGTACTTCTCTCGCCTCTCACATCGGGACTTACCTTTCTATGTATACTGAACAGGTTCTTGACATTTCTCACCCCTTAAAAACCGTATCACAGAAATCCATCTACTCCTGAGGACAAATGGAGGAGCTCACCTTTCTTTTTCTTTGCTGCTAAAGAAATCTTCTTCAGGCCCTCTTCTAGGGCTGTCATCTTAATGCCGGACAGGACATTGGAGCGATCACGGTGCTGAGCCACAATCAAGGCCAACTAGGAGAAACCATCATTAATAGCTGACACGGCATGAGATGGCTACACAGCCAACTAAGTGGCCTGCCGTTGGAGGGGGTGTGAGCAGTCCCCCAGTAGGCATAGCCCTATATGGATCACTCAAGATAGCTCCACCTCTTCTGAATGCTCTGCCTGAGTAGCCATATACTACCAAATCTATGATTTCACACCCCATTGTAATTGTTTTATCTTATTTTGTGGCAACTTTATATAAGCTTTTCTTACTCTTTTTAAGATATGTTAAAACCTGACGCCCAGCTGGCGTGGCTCAGTGGTTGAGCGTCGACCTATGAACCAGGTGGTCACGGTTCAATTCCCACTCAGGGCACATGCCCGGGTTGCGGGCTCAATTCCCAGTGAGGGACATGCATGAGGCAGCCAATCAATGATTCTCTCTCATCATTGATGTTTCTATCTGTCTCTCCCTCTCCCTTCCTCTCTGAAATAAAAATATATTTTAAAATTAGAAGAAAAAAAAAAAAAACCTGAGTCCAAGACATGTTGGCCTTTCTAAATGCTCTCAAGGATAAAGAAGGAATTTTCCAGAGTCTTTGGAGCAGAAAGGCCTTTCGAGGTTCTTGTACTCCAGCCCACTAGCTGATGCTCAGGTAAGCTCTGCAACCACCAGGATAAGCTGTCATTCTATCTCTGTTCACAATGCCAACTATCTCCACCCTCCTAATCAAAGAGGGGTAGAGCTGGAGAGTGTGTCAAGGCAATATCTGGGACTTACACCAGTAGTTACATCATAGTCTTGATTGTACTCACTGTAAACAGTTTTTTCTGAGTCACTGGCTTCCGAGCTTATGCACAACCACTGTGTCATTCTCATTTCTTAGCATTTTAGAAATGACTAAATGACTAAACAAGCAGAAACCACTTTGTTGTTAGGCACACAGGCCATTAACCTCAAGAAAAGGTCCCCTCAGCCTACTTTCTAAATGTCTTGTTTAAGTCAGTGAAGTTTTCGTTTTTTTAATCCTCACCCAAGGACATGTTCATTGAATTTTAGAGAGAGAGAGAAGGAAGAGAGAGAAACACTGATGTGAGAGGAAAAAAAAATCGATTGGTTGCCTCCCACATGTGCCCCAACTGGGGCTTGAACCCATGACCTTTTGGTATATGGGACAAGGCTCCTACCAACTGAGCCACACCAGTCAGGGCTAAGTCAGTGAAGTTTGGCCCCAAATTTGAATGAATTCAGGCCCTGGAGAAAGCTAAGTTAGTGGTAAATAAAACATTTTACAATAATTCCAAATGACAGGCAAGTGGGAGACACTTCTGATACAAAAGAAGAATTTTAATGCAGGCAGAGGAAATGTGGATTGGTTCTTCTTGGCTTATGACTGGCTAGAAAACAAGGTCTTTTATAGAACTTTTCATGTAACAAATGACAAAACGGTCAAGAGTTTTTTTAGTCATGTTTTCCTATTCATTCAGCAAGTGTTTATTGAGCATTTCCTATTAGCCATACTGCATGCAATATTGAGGATAAAAAGACAAAATTAAACTCTGCAATTAGGAGGGGCCTGTCCTCTATATCACTGG